CTAATGATAAGCTCAGACAACTTTCAGATGCAATAGTTTTATGAATAATCAGTGGAATTTATTTAACCAAGGAAAAATGACAATAAAATTAGCAATAATCAAGACTAAAATTGAATTCAAGGGTAAAAGGATCTAGGGCTATTGATTTCCCCAATTGCCGTAATACTTTATGAGAATTATGAGTTCCGGGCTACCGTAATTACCTTTCGATCAATTACGATAATTTACTAGAAGCATTCTCTCGAACTACTCTAGTTAACAATTTATGCAACTCAGAATCATCCCACCAAACCTTTGTTATTTCTAACCCCACTTTTAAATTCAAGTAATTAATCTCTTAACTTCCCCAAAAGTGGTGTTGTTCAACAACAATCTAACCAAGTGTTCTTTCTCAAGCAACACAAGGTGAATAGACACGATTAATCGAGGGCCCTTTCAATTAACCACAATACAATACGTAATTGAACAATCATAGAACAAACACGGCTCAATTATAACAAAATAGAGTCAAGACTTCATCCAACAATTGGTTTCATCAACCCTAGATAACAGATTTAGCTACTCATACTAATGGAAAACAAATTACTAAAATAATTCATAATCAACAAATAGAAGTATCAAGAAGAAGATGAAAACTCTTAGGAATTTATCCGTCTTCTCCCCCTCGTTCTTGCCTCTAAAATCCTCTAAAAATAGTTATCTCTCACTTCTGGGCGAGTTTAGGTTTCATATAGGTTTAGGTTAGTCACCTAGGAAATTACATAATTAACCCTGCGTGTTTGGCTTTCCTCCGCGGCCGCGGATTCGNTGTGTTTGACTTTTGTCCGCCCGTCCGCGGCCGCGGATCCGGCCGCGAATTTGGACTGCCTCACTGCCTTGAGTTCGCGGACCAGTTCGCGGCCCACTCCGCGGCCGCGCACCTGGAGGGGTCATTTCGCTTGCTTTTCTCGCTCCTTTTCGACCGGGCTAACCTTCGATTGCCCTTTCACATTCCATGTTGACTCCAAAATATTCGTTAGCTCCCTCCTAGCTCAGAGTAGCTCCTGTAAAGCATCAAATTCTTAATTAGAGCATTTTGTTATCTTTTAGCACTCAAATATCAATAAAGTGCGGTTAAATTAGAGTGTAAGTAGTGTCTAAATTGCATGAATATAGCCTACTATCAACACCCCACACTTAAACCATTGCTCATCCCCGAGCAATCAAACCACACTCTAAGAGGCTTAATTTCACTGAGCGACTTCCCTATTCGTCACACCAAGAATATTTCACATAAATTGAGTACATTAGTGCAATATCTACACCTCAAGAGTTGACTCCCTCTAGCCACGCAATGTTCCTAACTGGCTTACTTACTCTATATCAAAGGTCCAGACTTACCTCTCCTTCATGAATCAAGTGTCTGCTCATAACAAAAGAGACTCATTTCACAATCAGTAAAATTCACACACATTGAGGAACTTTAAAAGGAACAGAATTCACTCACCCTCAAAAATGACATTCTTGTGCCACAGAAAACGCACTATAGGCTTTCCCGTAGTGTATGACTCTACTAATTGAGCTCACTCAGTCTAGGATCAAGTAGGACTTTATTTGGATGTAATGTATATTGTAGGTTAGGTAGGATATATTTGGATATATGATAGTGACTATACCTCCCGAAGCACTTTAATACATTTATTTTACAATCAAGTCCACACCTAAGTTAAACCAATATTTTCATTTTTTTTTAACACCACATATACCACCCCACACTTCTTCTTTGAGCACAATCACCTTAAAAGCCACCAAAGATTTATTACCAATCAACATGATACACTATTAACAATGTTCTTCTCTTTTTCTTTTTTTTTTTCAAGTGGCCTTTTCCAACAAGATTTATCTTTCTCCTTATTTCTTAGTTCCACTCAAAAGCTCCATCAACTACCCCACACTTTATCCTTTGTAAATTCATAGTATTTTCAGTGCTTACGAGAGGTAAAGGATTCAAAAAGATGGTCAATTCAAACAAGGGATAGGGCTTGTAATGTGATTGCCAAGGAAACAGGATTACAGGTTCAACGGGGTTAACTATGGTACATAGAAAATAGGTGGGTGGAGTATGTATATATATGGTTTAACAAATAAATGCCTATATCACTTCCCAGACTAAACAAGACTACCATTTTGCTTTGCAGACACACAGGGCAAGTTCTAGGCGTTAAATGTCGTGCACAGAATATAACAAGCCTCTCACACACATGGCACATGACTCATTACAGATTAGATCATCAAACACTCAGATCAGGGTATTTCAGCCAAATTAAGAACATACATTTTAAGGCCTTCTTACAAGAGTCAACAAATGAGCCTAAACGTCATACTAAAGTAACCGCTATATTCAAGGCATTACGAAATCAAACAAGGCTTCCTATTTTAATTCTGTCCATAGCCCATAAGTTCCAAACTAAAAAAAATAAAAAGCTAACTACACCCGGTTCAAACAAAACCCTTGGAAAAGAACCGTGGTTTGAAGAAAAATCAACGGGGAATTGATACACTACTACAAAAGAAAATCTTTTTTTTTTCTTTCGACTTTAGTCCCTCAAGAAACCCGTCGAATGATATCCATCGTTGGGCCAAGTCGAAATTGATTTATACAAATAAACTACGAAACTATCTACATACAATAAAGTATCCCCCACCCCACACTTAAAAAGATGGCATGTCCCCATGTCATACAAAGTAAAGTAATGTGAGGTAAAGGAACTTCCCTGGTGGATCAATCTTGATCGGAGACAGTGCCAGGGTCGAGATGACATGCTCTCCCCAGCGCACGCAGCCGACCCATGATTTTCTTTTCTGACTTCGCATTTTGGGTTGCCAAAGCATCAACTTTGGTCCCCAATTCCATAACGGAAGTGCGCAGTCATGCCATGTCTTGTTCTAGGGCTATCATTTGCATGCTCCGTCTGACCTGGGATGGTCCTTCAGCCACTGTAGCTTGTTCCTGTGGGGGTGAGGCAGGTTCAACCTCCTCCTGCCCTTTGTCGCCCTCTTCCGACGCATTAGAATCGTCACTATGAGCTGCTCCTGGTGCCATCGGGTCTTTCCCGATGGTCACTTTGTCTGCCCGAAACTTTGGTTCTTTCTTTACCATGCCATCCGCATTTGGGTTCTCAGGCACCCTTGCTGCCCGGCACAATCTAGTGATCAGAGAGGGGAAAAAGAACCCATACCTCTTCTGTGTTGAATGGACGAACATCTCAGACTGAAGAACCTTGGCCACATCGAAGTCGTGGCCATTCATGAAGCATCATATCAAGGCTTCTCTCAGACCGCTTACCTCTGTGGTGTTGTGGGACGGTAGTAAGCGACTGTTGATGATGTACAACCAGCATTTTCCTTCAAAAGTGAGTGAGGAAGAGTGTAGCTTCGATCCCGGTACAACCCACACTACCTCTTTGTCTGGTGCACAGATAGTTCTGAAAAACCTGTTCCATGTGATGGGTTCCCTCCTGTAAGTATCATAGAAATCCTCCTCCCCATTGAATTCAGGCAATCGATACACTCTCCTGATGGCTTCTAACAAGGCATCCACCCTCGTGTGTCGCACAGTGCATATTCTATCCTCATGTTCGGGGCAGTTGGCATAGAACTCCCGAACAAATATCAAGTTACCCTTCTCCGGCTCTTCAAAAAAGCTATCTAATCTGCGCCTGATCAACTCCCGATACATATTAGGGCATTCATCCTGGAGGGACGCCCTGTCAATACCCCTTTTCGGTACAGATTTTTTAGTGGCCTTCAAACTGAAATGGTCTTGGGAAGCTCTAGAGACAAACCTGGTACGATCAAACGAGCTGCACTGGTCTGTGCCCGTCCCCTAGATGAGCCTCCATGACCACTTGATGAGGCCCCGGTAGCGCTTCTCTTCCTTGAGGGTTGCATTTTACCTACACAATAAATACTACTATCAGTGGATAGAGGAATATGTGTCCAATGGAGGTTACTCAAACTTCACTCGTACAATTGGTCACAATTTATCTTCAACACTCATTAAGGCAAATCAACAAACAGGTAGTGTGCATATGTACCCCCAAGTCACCCAATCAAACCCAACAATGGCTTCCTCCAAGTCAATCAATTCAAATAGCCTCCATATACCACATATAAACCACAATCCAAATCCCAAACAAAAGTACCTATGATTTTACTACCCTATACAGAAAAGGAAAATAAAATTAAAACAAATACTAAGAAAAAGGAATAAAATCATGTACTTACTTGGAGATATTGAGAAGAACGGAGGTTGGATATCGGTTGAGTGGAGAAGAGAAGGAAGGAGAAGAGCCTTGTGTTAGAAGGAAAATATGGGCGAAAGGAAGGGTTTGGGTTCTTGAGGTTAGGGAGGGAAGAAGAGAAGTGGGAGGGAGTGAGGGGTTTGGGTTGTTGAAGTTAGGGAGGGAAGAAGATAAGTGGGGGAGAATGAGGGGTTTGGGTTCTTAAAGTTAGGAAGGGAAGAAGAGAAGTGGGGGAAGTGAGGGTTTGGGTTAAGGAAAAGAAGGGGGTGGGGGATTAAAATAAAAAACACTTACCTGGACAAGCCCGGGCTTCTGCGGTCCAATCCGCGGCTGCGGATTCTAGGCAGAGGGGGTCCCAAAATTCGCGGCCCAATCCGCGGCCGCGGACGGGAGGCAGAACACAGGCCTAAATCCGCGGTCCAATCCGCGGGATCTCCATCTCCAGCCAATTTTTGTGTTTGCCGCATTTTGTTTACCTAGTCTTAGGTTAATTTCGACCCCCGAATCCTTCTGATGCGCGTGATCTTTGCCCTGCATAGTAGTAGGTCGGTTAAAGTCATTCAAAATCAATTACAACAAATAAATTAAGAAAAATAATGGGTTGCCTCCCAAAAAGCGCCTAAGTTAACGTCGCGGCACGACGATTTACAACAAACCATGGGCTGCCTCCCAGGAAGCGCCTGATTTAACTTCGCAGCACGATGCAGGCTTTCATTATCACTCCTCGTTCGCGTACCGGGGTTCTTCCAAAGTTATCACCTCTCTATCCCCTTTCTCTTCGACCATTCCAAGGTAATGTTTCAACCTTTGTCCATTTACCGTGAACTTGTTTATCCTATCTTCGGATTCAATCTCCACAGCTCCGCTTGAGAACTCTTGCACCACTCTGAAGGGTCCTGACCATCTAGACTTCAACTTACTCAGAAACAACCTCAATCTCGAGTTGTATAACAACACTAGATCTCCGGGCTTGAAGTTCCGATCTAAGATGTTCTTATCATGGATCATTTTCATCTTTTCTTTGTATAGTCTGGCATTTTCAGAAGCGTGGAACCTAAATTCCTCGAGCTCATGTAACTCAGTGACTCTGCTGGTGCCTGCAGTCTCTATATCCAGATTCAGCTGCCGCAGTGCCCAAAGTGCTTTATGTTCGAGCTCTACCGGAAGGTGGCATGCCTTTCCAAACACCAACTTGTACGGTGACATACCAATTGGAGTTTTGAATGTTGTGCGGTATGCCCATAATGCATCATCCAGCTTCTTCGCCCAATCGGTCCTTGTTGCATTCACTGTCTTTGTCAGGACACTTTTAATTTCTCTATTGGACACTTCAGCTTGCCCGCTCGTCTGTGGGTGGTACGGTGTGGCTACTTTGTGGCAAACTCCATACTTTTCCAACAGACGTGCGAACGCTCTATTGCAAAAATTGGTTCCACCATCACTGATTATAGCTCTCGGGGTGCCAAAACGTGTGAAGATGTTTTTCTTTAGGAAACTTATTACCCATTTTGCATCATTGGTTGGGAGATCCACTGCTTCGACCCACTTGGAGACATAGTCAACCACTACCAATATATATTTATTACCATACCAGCTGACGAACGGCCCCATAAAGTCGATCCCCCACATGTCAAAAACCTCCATCTCTTGAATTGTTGTCATAGACATCTCGTGACGGCGAGATATGTTGCCTGTCCTTTGGCATTCATCGCAACTTTTGACCCAAGCATGGACATCCTTGAATAGAGTAGGCCAATAGAATCCCAATTCCAACACTTTTGCTGCTGTCCGAATTCCTCCAAAGTGTCCACCATATGGTGAAGCATGGCAAGCCTACAAAATAGAAGGTTGATCTTTCTCTGGGATACACCTCCGGATCATGTTATCTACACATATTTTAAACAATAGAGGTTCGTCCTAATAAAAGGCTCAACAGTCGCGGAAGAACTTTTTCTTTTGAATTGAGGAGAGTTCATAAGGCACAATACCGCTTGCTAAATAGTTAGCAATATCAGCATACCAGGGCGTCGCCTCCACTGTCACTGCAAGTAACTGTTCATCCGAGAATGTCTCTGTTATGTCTTCAACCTCTATTCTCTTTTCAGATCCTTCTAATCTTGAGAGGTGGTCTGCCACTTGATTGTCTGTCCCCTTTCTATCACGAATTTCCAAATCGAATTCTTGTAGGAAAAGAACCCAGCGAATCAAGCGTGGCTTTGACTCCTTCTTTGCTAATCAAGTACCTAATTGCTGCATGGTCAGTATAAACAATAACTTTTGAACCAATTAAGTACAACCTGAATTTGTCGAAGGCAAACACTATAGCCAGCATTTCCTTTTCCGTTATAGTGTAATTGAGTTATGCACCGCTGAGCGTCCTGCTTGCATAGTAAATCAGGTGCATCATCTTGTCTTTTCGCTGCCCCAAGACTGCTCCTATAGCATAATCACTGGCGTCGCACATGAGCTCGAATGGTTGCTCCCAGTTGGGTGCAACAATGATGGGTGCAGTTATCCGTCTCTTCTTCAGCTCCTCAAATGCCAACCTGCAATCATTAGAAAACACAAAGGGCTGATCCTTTTCAAGAAGTTTACACAAAGGGTTAGCAATTTTGGAAAAATCTTTTATGAATCACCTATAGAACCCGGCATGCCCAAGGAAACTTCTCACTGCCTAGACCGAAGTGGGCGGTGGCAATTTCTCAATCACATCAACTTTAGCATGGTTGACCTTAGTTCCCTTACTAGACACTCGATGCCCAAAACTATTCCTTCTTGTACCATAAAATGGCATTTTCTCCAATTCAGCACCAAATTTGTCTCCACACATCTTTTGAGCACTCTTCTTAAATTGTGAAGACAATCTTCGAATGAATCCCCCACCACGGAGAAATCATCCATAAACACCTCCATAATATCCTCCACAATGTCAGTGAAAATGGCTAACATGCACCGCTGGAATGTAGTTGGTGCATTACAAAGTCCAAAGGGCATTCTCCGAAAGGCAAAGATGTCATATGGACAAGTGAAGGATGTTTTCTCTCTGTCTTCCGGGACTATTGAGATCTGGTTATACCCCGAATATCCATCCAAGAAATAGAAGTGGGACCGCCCAGCTAACATGTCCAACATTTGGTCAATGAAAGGCAATGGGAAATGGTCCTTTCGAGTGGCTATGTTCAGTTTCTGATAGTTCATGCAAATCTGCCACCCCGTGACTGTACGAGTCGAGATCAACTCGTTATTCTCATTTTGTACGACCGTCATTCCTCCCTTTTTCGGCACACATTAGACAGGACTGACCCAGTGGCTGTCAGAGATAGGGAAGATGATACCCGCACCAGCCACTTGATCACTTCCTTCTTTACTACTTCCTTCATATTTGGGTTCAGACGTCGTTGATGTTCCTTGGAAGGTTTGTGCCCCTCTTCCAGAAGAATCTTGTGCATGCAAAAGGCTGGGCTGATACCCTTTATGTCTGCCATGGTCCAACCAATGGCAGTCTTACATTCTTGCAATACCTTCAATAGTTGCTCTACCTGCACAGCTAGCAAACCAGATGATATAATAATAGGCAAAGTAGAATTAGGCCCCAAGAAAGCGTACCTAAAGTGGGCTGGAAGTGGTTTCAGGTCCAGCTGTGGTGGCTCCTCTATTGATGGTTTTGCAAGTGGTGTTGCTCTCTCTTCTAAGCGTAGGGCTCGAACTGAGGTTCCCTTTTCCAGAATCCTTGACCTTCGAGAGCCATGACCTACTCTGCCAACCCTTCACCGTCCATCTCTTCCAAATTCATCAAGCAGGCTTCTAGTGGATCCTTGACATTAAGGGTCTCGTCCTCTTCTTGCAGTATCACATCTACGGCCTCCACTAGTGAGCAGTTTGCAAATTCACTGGGTCTCCTCATGGATTGTTGAACGTTGAATATTATTTCTTCATTGTTCAACCTCATTTTCAACTCTCCAGTCTCACAATCAATTAATGCTCTCCCAGTGGCTAAGAATGGCCTTCCCAGAATGATGGGTATCTTTTCATCCACCTGACAATCAAGAATAACAAAGTCTGCAGGAAATATAAATTTCCCCACTTGCACAAGCACATCATCAAGAATTCTTGTCGGTCTTTTGACTGTGCGATCAGCCAGTTGCAGTAACATTGAGGTCGGTCTAGCTCTGCCAATGCCCAGTTTCGTATAGATTGCCAAGGGTATCAAGTTTATGCTGGCTCCCAAGTCACACAATGCTTTAGCAACAGCATAACTCCCAATAGTGCATGGGATAGTGAAGCTACCTGGATCAGACACCTTTTGGGCCATAGGTCTTGTCACTACCGCACTGCAGGTCTGTGTCAGAGTTACAGTAGACAGGTCCTGGAAGTCAAATTTCTGCGACATCAGGTCCTTCATTATTTTTGCATACCCTGGCATTTCCCTCAAAGCATCCATCAGTGGAATATTCAATTGAATCTGTAGAAGCATTTTCATGAATTTCCTGTATTGATCATCTTTCTTTTGTTTTGCCAATCTCTGAGGGAATGGTGCAGGAATCAATCTATGTCCATTACTTGATGTCTTTTCTTTGTTGGAATCTTCTGCCAAAAGAGGTGCCACCTGTTCTGAGACTTGTTCACCGTCCTTCTCCTTACCCTTGTCAACTTGTGCTTGTTCAATTACAACCTTGGTGAGCTCTGCTGACTCATCTGCCTATAATGTAACTGGAGTAGTTGGCATAGTCTCTCTCCTAAATTGAGCAACTTCTTGCTCTCTGTCTAAATCTCTTCCATTCCTGAGACTCACTGCCATTAGCTGATTTGGGTTCTGTTCCTTTGGGTTAATATTTGTATCTGCAGGCAATGTTCCTTGGGGGCGATTGTTCAAGGCCATAGACAGTTGTCCCAGTTGAGTTTCAATGCCTTTGATTGCTGAATCATGTGCTGCTAACTTTTCTTGCATCTTACCATTTGTTCCAATGAGTTGTTGCAGCATACCCTTGACTTCTACCATATTGTTGTCCTGTTGTTGATGAGGGGGTTGGTAGGCCAACTGTTGCTGGTGCTGCTGATTATAGCCCTGCTGCCTTTGATAAGGCACAACTTGACCTTGTGGTCGTGCGCCTCCAGAATTGGGTTGTGTTGTGGCAGGTTGGGTCTGTATTGCTGGTTTGGTGCTGGTCCCCATTGTTGCCCACCTTGCCTCTGACCTCCAAAAGTATTGACATAATTCATGTCTTCTCTGAAGCCCTGATTGTCATTCTCTCCACTCCATGATCACACATATGACTGGTTTATGCAAGAAGTGCACAATCCTCCATTCGTTGTATCAACAATGTGCACTTGCTTTGTACCCATCTCATCAATTTTCTTTGTCAGTATGCTCATCTGAGTCATGAGAGTGGCTATGTTCTCTGCATTGGAATTGTTTGGGTCAAGAGCAACAGAATGCACTATTGGTGTAAGTGTCGTACTTTTAGCCATCCAGCCTGAATTTTGAGCCATCTTGTCAAGAAGAATCTTGCACTCTGTGAATGTCTTGCTCAAAAATGCACCCCCAGTTGAAGCGTCTACATTGGCCTTCAAACTATCTACTAAACCTATGTAGAATCTCTGTCCCAGCATCTAATCTGGAATGCCATGGTGTGGACACTTCACTAGCATACCCTTGAACCTCTCCTAGGTTTCTTGCAATGACTCAGTTGGTTTTTGCCTGAACTGCAATATCTCATCAATCTGCCTTGCAGTCTTGTTGGGAGGATAAAACTTGTTTAAGAACTGTTTGACTAATTCTTCCCAAGTGAAAATGGAGTTTAGTGGAAGTGAATTCAGCCAAGTTTGAGCATCTCCAGTTATAGAGAATGGAAACAGTAATAGCTTGATGGCTTCAGGAGTCACATTCGGTTGTCTTTGGGTCACATATATTGATAGGAAGTTCTTCAGATGTTGTTATGGGTCTTCAATGTATGACCCGGAGAACAGTCCCTTATTTTGCAATAGATGCAGCATGTTGTTGGTGATCTGGAATGTCTCCGCTTGTACCTGAGGTACAGCAATGGCGGTGGCTAAGTTATCAGCAGTTGGTTGTGCCCATTCATATAGAGCAGCTTCTGGCACAAGAGGTGCCACCACTCCATTATTTGGGTCAACCCGATTATTCCGATTATTTTCGTTGACATCGTCCACGTTGTCCATTTCAATTTCGAGTGTGTGTTTTTGTTGTAACTGTTTGTTCTTCTTGTTGGCTCGATTTAATGCCCTAAATGCTTTCTCGGGGTCTGAAAGTCCTTCAAAAAGTTCACCAACCCTCGAAGAGCTTCTAGGCATACACCTGAGTCACATGAGAATTCAAATCTGAGAATTTCAATAAAAAAAATAAAAAATTTAAACACCGTAAGAAATTGATCCAAACTAAGAATCTTAGCAATTCTTTTAAGTTGTAATAAATAACACCGTTAGTTCCCCGGCAACGGTGCCAAAATTTGATCACGCCCAACTATGCCTTGAAAGAAGGACTAAACGGTCGCTGCAAATACAACCCGGTTTAAGTCCGGAGTCGAATCCCACAGGGAACTAACCTATTTACTACAACCTTAAATAATGCTAATGATAAGCTCAGACAACTTCCAGATGTAATAGTTTTATGAATAATCAGTGGAATTTATTTAGCCAAGGAAAAATGACAATAAAATTAGCAATAATCAAGACTAAAATTGAATTCAAAGGTAAAAGTATCTAGGGCTATTGATTTTCCCAATTGCCGGATTAATTCTCAACTCTTTAGCTATAATCTCGCTGTAATACTTTATGAGGATTATGAGTTCCGGGCTACCGTAATTACCTTTCGATCAATTACGATAATTTACTAGAAGCATTCTCTCGAACTACTCTAGTTAACAATTTATGCAACTCAGAATCATCCCACCAAACCTTCGTTATTTCTAACCCCACTTTTAAATTCAAGTAATTAATCTCTTAACTTCTCCAAAAGTGGTGTTGTTTAACAACAATCTAACCAAGTGTTCTTTCTCAAGCAACACAGGGTGAATAGACACGATTAATCGAGGGCTCTTTCAATTAACTACAATACAATACGTAATTGAACAATCATAGAACAAACACGGCTCAATTATAACAAAATAGAGTCAAGACTTCATCCAACAATTGGTTTCATCAACCCTAGATAACAGATTTAGCTATTCATGCTAATGGAAAATAAATCACTAAAATAATTCATAATCAACAAATAGAAGTATCAAGAAGAAGATGAAAACTCGTAGGAATTTATTTGTCTTCTCCCCCTTGTTCTTGCCTCTAAAATCCTCTAAAAACAGTTATCTCTCACTTCTGGGCGAGTTTAGGTTTCATATAGGTTTAGGTTAGTCGCCTAGGAAATTACATAATTAACCCTGCGTGTTTGGCTTTCGTCCGCGACCGCATTTGGACTGCCTCACTGCCTTGAGTTCGCGGACCAGTTCGCAGCCCACTCCGCGGCCGCGCACCTGGAGGGGTCGTTTCGCTTGCTTTTCTCGCTCCTTTTCGACCGGGCTAACCTTCGATTGCCCTTTCACATTCCATGTTGACTCCAAAACACTCGTTAGCTCCCTCCTAGCTCGGAGTAGCTCCTGCAAAGCATCAAATTCTTAATTAGAGCATTTTGTTATCTTTTAGCATTCAAATATCAATAAAGTGCGGCTAAATTAGAGTGTAAGTAGTGTCTAAATTGCATGAATATAGCCTACTATCACTTCTTTTTTTTATAATATAGATATATATTTATTACTCTGAAAGTACATTTTTTTTAAAAAAACTTATTATGTTATACTGTTCAAAATTCTTCAATTGTCTAAATTTATCAATAATTTTATTGATTGTTATTTATTTATTTATTATTTATTATTTATTATTTATTATTCATTATTTATTAATTAAGTCTATAAATATCATAAAACTGTCTTTATGTACGTTCTTTTCTACTGTAATATTTGATTAGTTTTTTTATTTTGAAATTTACTGAAAATTTAAATAATGTAATATTTTTTGCTAAATTATAATTTTAAATTCATCAAAAGTATAAAGATATAAGTCTTTTTTATTATTTTTACGAAAAACAACTACCAATGTATAATTATTTTTAATTTAATTTAAATTATTAACTAATTTTATATATATATATATATATATATATATATATTTATTTATTTATTTATTTATTATAGCTAGTTATAAGATATCTATATTTATTAATTCAAATAGAGTAACCAACCAATTAATTTAAAATTTAAAATTTAAAAGGTTTTTTAGTTAGAAAGGTAGTTTGTTTTGTCCTAATGTCACTTGGCTTTTTGTGGTTATGCCACTTGTATTAATATTGTGCTTTTGCCTCTCCTTTTATTATATATAGATTTTTTTTTAAATTACTTACTCTCTCCTTTCCACTTTAATTATTTTTTGGCCTTTTTTTTGTACTCCACAATATTTAATTTTTTAAAATATCAAGAAGGAATTAACTTCTTTTTTTCAAAGTTACTCTTGGAATAAAGAGTCTAGGAGTGTTTGTTATATTTTTAATAAATAAATTAAAGTTAATATGGTCAATTTTATTGTTAATTAATACTAAAAAGTGGATTCCTTAATATGTGTGAAAATAGCCAAAAAAATCAATTAAAGTGGACCGGAAGAAATAAGTTACAAATGTCTCACGCTCCTTCAACTTTAGCTTCCTTCTAGTTTAGGATCCCTTTTTATATTAATGATAGAAGCCGAATATTTACTAATTCTAAGATTTAGTATCTACTTTAAATTATAGAATATTTGTTTTCCTTTTAGTTTAGAATGTATAAAGAAATATCATACTCCATTCTCATTATTTTATTTCCGTTAAAATATCTATAAATAGTAATGTACTTCTGTTTATTTTTTAAATCATTAAATTTGTCACCATTCATTCTCTTTGATCTTCTCTCTAATTTCTCTGATTTCTTAATACAAAACAAACTGGATTGAATTGAATAAAAAACGTAATGTCGATCCAGAATTGATTGTATCCAGCATGTTTTAGAGGGTTAAAAGTCTCGAAAGAGTTTGGTAAAACTTTTTGTATACTTGTCCCACCCACTTAGCAACTTCTTCATATTGGCACAACTAGTTGCTCTTCAATGTAGTCACAAAGGTTTCTCCGTTCAAATGATGCTGCAATTTTGTCTATACTTTTGGCGAGTTATTTGATTTGTTTCACCTCTAGTCCTCACTGTTGGCTTTATTCAAAAAGACTCAGAAAAGTAAAAAATAAAAACTACAGAGAAAATCTAGAGAAAAGCAAACATCCTAAGAGTGACTTTCTTTAAGAGACCCTATGGGTTAGTGATGAGCTTAATATTACTTGACATTTTAGACCTTTTTTTGTCTTTAGTCGAGTTGATTTGACGAGGACTTTGCTTGAATTACGGTCTAATATGTTACTGTTTGGTGCAGGTATAGATGAGATAATCAATGGACAAAGTGAGAAAAACAAGCTGAAGAAAGGAAGAAAAAGCTACGCGGCAAGGCCAGAACGCGCACATGAGTGTGCACAGAAGACAGGAGGCCCGGATGAGATGCGCGCCCAAGTAGCCAGGTGCGCGGCAGCGCACGTCTGCCTACAGAAAATTTAAGTCAGGTCTATTTTTATAATTTTTGGGAATTCCCCCTGAACTTTATGAAGCCTAAGCTCGTCCCATACTAGGTATCTTGGATTTTGGGAGCAACTTTTGGAGAGAAGAAGGCAAGAAAATAACGGAGACATTGAATACTTCATTTGAATCATTCAATACGAAAGTTTGTTTGAATTCGTGAGTTGTAATATTTTCTTGTCCTCTTAATACTCTTGTGAAGAACAATTTCTTAACTATGGAGTAGTCCTTCTTAGGGTTATTGACAGATGTTGTGTGTTGATACCCAATTTTGCTCTTATATTTTATAAAGTATTCCATGTACTTTCAAAATATTATTTTTGCATTATTACGCAATTTACAAGAGTCATATAAGTATTTTCTATAATTTCCTATCATTTTTAAAGCTTTAAAATTAATTTTCTCGCATTTAATTATTCAAATATTAATTAAATATCCCTTTAAATTATTTTGGGATGATTCAATTATTCAAATTTATTATTTATACCCACATGCATGTTTTATAATATTTTACTTC